AAATCATAACTGAGGGTTTATTACTACTTTAATGATAACACACACAGTAGATGTGCCGATAAATAAATACAAAGTATTAAAGACAAACACTGAAAGAACTGACAATGTGTCAAGCAGTCCACTTCATGGTCACAGTAGGAAATACATGCATACGAATCAATTTAGGCTGCAGTAAACATGGTGCTGCAATGTATCTTATAGTTGCGAGGCAATACACAAGCTAGGTGGCAACATAAAAGGCACAGAAGCTTGAGCCTTTGCAAGTGATGCCATTACTATCACAAGAAAATAGAACAAAATAAATGAAACATAAAATGACTTGAAGAAAATGATAGCATAAATGATACAGCAGCACATAACACATAGATAATATATAATACATAACATATAGTCTGCAGTCCATTGGTTCCAGTGCATCTCATCATTAATGTTATGTGACAGATTGGTGCATGCTTTGTATGAGCTATTGTGTGTTGGCTCCATCAGTTTACCTTTTACCTTTTCAGGGTCCCTTACCACCCCTTAATTTGACCAAACACAATGGACAATAGAAATTGGAACCAGACCTGATTGTTTTGAGCGAAATCGTCACTCTTTTATATTGTGTATGTTTCCTGTTAATTCGTGTGTAAAAAGCATGTCCGTTTAAAATCACAGGGCTGCATTCACAAAAGATACTGGTTATTACAAAGATATTGGTCATTACAAAGATACTGGCCATTACAAATATATTGGTCATTACAAAGATACTGGTCATTTGAAAATTTTAGGAGAAAATGATCATGAAATAAAATAACTTCTCTATTTTAGTAAACACAGCCTGTTATCTAAACTTTCTTGCTGCAGTTATAAATATCTATATGTGAAAGGCAGTGTTACCATTTGTGATTTTTGGTGGAAACAATGTTATAGCCGTTTCTAATGAATGCAATTCTTGGAAAAGGCATAGCTACAAAAGTTATTAGCTTAGTCATCTTAAATGAATCAAGCCATTAAAAACCTAGGCAGAAATTCCTCTTGATTTTGTACTTTACAACTTTAATTTAAATTGGGTAGTCACCGGATAAAGCGTCTCATCCTGCATACAAATGCCAGATGGCATTCGGACCTGCTTTTCCCTCCAATGTGTTTATCTGGATAGGAACAAGCGGCTACTTCATGATTAGTGGCAGCTGCTTGGTGATTATTTTATAGAAAAGCAGAGACCATCCATGTTTTTAGCATGTTATTACTTATTTTAACAGAAGGCACTCATTATTTTGTAATGCTAATTTTTCATTCCTTTTGTAATCAACAGCTTACATTTCTTGCAAAGCATCTTTTCATGGGGCACTGAATCACTTAGAAGAATTTATCTATGTGGTATGGGCTATCACTAAACTGGATGGAGTAAGGGCCTATGTTGATTGGCAGTTGTTCATGTCACAACCACTTCTCTCCCCTTACAATTCAATGGAAAAGCAAAAGCAGCTTGAAGCAGGTTGATGTAGCTTAGGAGGTCAGATGGTGGTCAACCGCAGATCATATTCACCTGTCAATGAAGGCTTAAAGGAGAACCATGGGGTCAGTGCTTTTCCCCATAGTTCTCCTAAGGGTAACGGGAGGACACAAACTAGCATCCTCCGGTCACCCAAAGCTCTGTATACCACGAGCTACAGCTAGCGGTATACTGAGGCGCCGCAGCCGGAACGGATCCCGACAATGCTGTCTGGATCCACCCAGCTGCGTGAGTGACAGCTGGCTCTGCCTATCTAGAGACAGAGCCAGCTGTCCCCTCCCCGTCAGTTTCGCCAGTCAGTGCTGGAGGATCGGACAGGGGAGGGGGGGGGGAACCTGCAGGAAGCCGTGAGTGGCAGTCATGGCTCTCTGCACGGATAGATCGAGAAGTGAGAGAATGACGGTATGTGTTCGCTCACTGCCCGATCTACTGAGCCGACCTGTGACAGTTTCATTGTCACAGGTCGGCTCATATTATGAGGCTGAGTGAAAATCACTCACCTCATAATTCTCCTTTAATATCATAACCAACTTAAAGTGATCTTAAATGCAAGCTGAACGCACCTTATAAGGTCATCAACACAAGTCCTCAGTCCCAGGTGAAGGTCTTGTGAGCAGAGAAAAACTCTAGACAGAGCTTCAGCTTTGAAAATGTATGATGATTTTCTGCTGACACTTAACCTCCTATTGGTGTTAGGTGGAAGCCAACATAACACAATAGTGCATGTCAAATAACGTCATATATATCAATTTCCTTTACAAGGCTTTTGAAGTATCTGCATTTGTCTCTTATGAAAAAAAAATCCACACATATCCATATAAAGCCCTACCCTTTAGTATAAAGTTCCACCCCTTCAAAGAGGTTGTGGAATTGTCTGGTGACATGAATGGGAATGCCCTTGAGTTTGCTATAAATGAGTCCTTGTCCCTTGCTGTGAGTTGAACGGAAAAAAAAACGATGTTACCTTCTTTCTTTAAACTACTAATGTCTCCAATCATCATGTAATGGGGACAAGCAAAGGCAGATATGTTTGAAGTCCACACTAGGTGACAACCATGGCTCCTCTCAAAACATGCAGCGGACAAAGTGAGCATACCCACCCAGGGACAGGAAGTGTGTTATTCGCAGTATTACCAGGGGGAAATAAAGGAAAAGAGCCTGAAAGGGGAATAAAAATACTAAATTTAAGTTATAAAAACCCTACAATAAATTCAAATAATAAAGAGGAAATTATTAAAGGGGTAATTAGTGGGCTCACTCCAGTCATTAGTGCAAAAGCAGTGAATATAGTAAATCCGATAGCAATAAATAATAACAAAATTAAGTCAAGTACTCCTAAAAACGAGATGACTCGGGGATCTTTACACACACACACACACAATAGGTTGGACTTGATGGACATGTGTCTTTATTCGACCTCAAATACTATGTAACTATGTAAATGCATCCACCACTTTCAAGTACTGGTAAACTGCAATATATTACTTTTTTTTATTTTTATTTTTAGTATAGATACACTTTAATAGAAAAGAAAAGATATTCAAGCTTTCTTCACTGGAAGGACAAAGCTTGGGTGTATTTGAACTGAACATATTTTCATCTTTTAGAGTCATCTTTAGAGTCATTATTCAGATCGGTCATTCACTCGGCTGCCCTCGGCAGCCGAGTGAATAGACCCCTTAGTGTCTTTCATATTTAATGAGGTGGGCTGTGGTGTCTATATAATATCCTCAATTCAGCATAACACTATTTTACTTGACCAATGGAGGGTATTTGGTGTTCCTAAAAGGACACAATTTGCTATACACCACTATAGCTATGCATGTTTTTGTTTAGTTATTTATACTGTATGTTTGTATGTTTATGTGAATAAATTGCTCCTCTGTGTCTGACTTATAGTAAATAGGTCCATGGCTCCATAATCCATGTCAGTTTACAACTCTTTGTCATAGTTTTAAATTTGTCATCCCAAAAATGTTGGTGTTTGTGTTTGATATTATTTGTAGAGTGTTTAGTTTTTGTATATGTGTATGACTTAAACAATAAAAAACAAGCAAAACTGTACAAGAACTACATTGCATTTAATTTGACACTTAGTGAAAAAAAAACCTCTACGATGCCTGAGATGAAAGCAACTATTCTTTGGCTTATGAATCGTATATGAAATTTGGGACAGTAATATCACTTTTATTGAAATGAAACATACTTGGCTTCATTGGGCAACAAGGAATATGCATTCTCTGTGTCTGACTATACCTGCTTTCATCAAAGACTTCTCAGACACTTTTTTTTATGATGAACTGCAACAATTTATATAGCCTGGAAAGTTTTTTTTTTAAATGTTAAAAGCACGATTTTAGAATCCTTGGGAATTTTGTTGGGCATGTTCCTTAAATGTGCCCATTGCCATTTGAAGGTTTGACTGTTGGACAATTGTTGCTTAAACATGCATGCTGTAACTTGCTGAGTATGTATGTGTTTGCACTATGCAGACATCCTTGGTTCCAACCTAATCTGTTCCCCACAGGTGGATAGGAAAGAGAGGTGTCTTTACTATAAAGACATATTATGTAATAGCACTAGTTTGGTTATTTAAAACTAGGGATGTTCAGATACCAGTGCCGATACTTGGCATTTTCACGACAAACACCAGGGTTGCAGCGGTTGCAGCTGGGACCTGGCTCTGGCACTCCACCACTGTTCTGAAATCATTAGTCTGTATTGTTTTAGAAAAACTGTCACATTACACTAAACAAAAATATATCAGTACTTGTATCTGTGAGTACTTGGAAAAGTATCAGTACTTGTAGTTGTACTTGAAAAAATTGTATTGGTGCATCCCTAATATTCATTTAATTAAAAAAATCATACATTAAAACAGGAATGCACAAATCCTAGGAGCTCTGTATGCTTCTTAAAAATGACAACTGCCTCATAACTTTTAAATTATTCTTTAGTCTAGCTGGAAAAGTATCTGTACTTGTACTTGTACCGAGTACGGTACTTGGTATCTAAACATCCCTATTTAAAACCACTGAGCATTTTTGAAATCTACTTGTTCATCTGTAGGATGTACCCTTAATATTGCATCAAGAAATACTTGGTACATACCAAATTCATCCTGTATCCACAAGTTATCAATTACTGTGTAAAACCCTCATTTTTAGCAAATCACAAAAAGAATATATATATTTCACAAAACTGAGAAAAGGAATGATTAAAATGAGCATTTTTTAAGAGTCATCTGGACTTTTGTATATACTCCTCATCTAGTCCGGTCTTGTTTAGGTCGCCACACCTTTTCTGAAAAGGTTAAAGAGTTTGAAAAGGTCACAGGACTGGAATGATGAAGTTTAGTGAATTTGTCTTTAGTTTCATTTGTTGAAACTATCAGTCATGGAGAATATGAATTTGCCAGTGCATTTTAGGGCACAAATAAGAGAGAAACAATTCATTGATGGGAATTTTTTAAGACTAATGTCACACTATGTCTGTATTTCAGATCCCCAGCTCAAGGGCATAGTGACCAGGTTATATTGCAGGCAAGGATACTACTTGCAAATGCATCCAGATGGAACTCTCGATGGAACCAAGGATGACAGCAGCAACTCTAGTGAGTACCCTTCTTATCTCATCTTTGACTGTTGTTGATACTGTGTATGCTGTTGGTCCTCTGTTTTCTTCATCAGGCTTTTGTTTGGCAATTAACACTATTCTCTGGCTAAAATAAGGTCCATTTGTTAAAGCTAGTGTAAAGAAGAAAGTACTGTTCAGGAAGCCAGCCAGATGTCTTCTTTAAACTCTATATGCAAATAATATTGTTTGCACTCGCTTTTTTGACAGGGTTCTGTACTTTAAGGAAGAAATTGGGAAACGTCTTTGTTTGGAGGCATGCAGATGTTTGTCTGCACTACAAATATAAAACGACTATGATTGATTGCTATAGGAAAAAATTACTTCTGCAGTAGCTTTTACTTACAGGGATTTTCACTTTCATGAGCACACCTGCAGGGAACTACCACTGCAGGGCTGCCCTGCTAATCAGCCTTTTAGATGGGTTTGAACAGTTCTGACATTATGCTGGGATGTTTTTTTTTGTTATTTTTTAAACAATATTGTGCATTTCTATACTCAGAAATATATTGATCTCAGGTCATATTACCATATGGTTTTTTACTTTATTGAAAAAGTGGAGAAGCTCTGTGATGCCTCTCGCACATGAAATGCCTTTCTTTCTGTTCATGTAGCTATTGTGAATTCAGTATTACAATAGTAAAAAGAAAATTAATGTACCTATGTACCATAACAAATGGTGTGTTGTGTAGAAGCGCTTTTTCTTAAAATGATGCTTGCAGTAATTATAAAACCGTTATTTTAATACTGTTTTATACTTACTGTATATATGTTGCATTTAGTAAATAAAACATAATCTGCGTTGTAATCTAAAACCTTAAACATTATTTGCATTTGGTGAATAAATAATAGTGGGCAAAGTTATTAAATGAAGCAGTACAAAGGCACATTTAGTTATATAGGCATTAAACAATTCAATATAACTTTTAATCCATTTAGAGCAGCAAAGCTGGCCACAGATACAGGCCAGTTGGAAATGCAGGCACAGTTTGCCCACCCTCAGGGATCTGTGCCAACCAATGTATACTTAAATATGTACAATTGGATCAGCCAACTGTAATCGGCATATGGAGTGGTACACACCGCAGACATCCCCAGTCATGCCTTATTGGGAGGAAAATAGCAATTCTAACCAATGTGCCCGGGGCAAGAGTAGTTGTCATTACAACTATGATCTATGAAGATGGGCAGCCAAGAGACTGTAATTTAATGTTTATGAGCATGTCAATTAAAATCAAACATGAATGCTGATTAATTGCATTACGCTGTGTCACCTTGCATTTAGCTTCTTGTCATATTAAAAAAGATGAGTTGTATATCCAGTGGCAGATATACTGTTTGTGCAGAGTTTGCAGCTACACAAGGGCCTCTGAGGTTTAGAAGCCCATGCATACTTGATGTTGGACAGCTGGGAACCCTCCTGCCTTCATGTAGACCTGTAAATTGCATCTAAGGCAAGTAAAAAGTGGGTGACATTCTTTGTTTGATGCCCCAAGCACGTAACCCTCCTTATCTGACTGACACTGACTGACTTTACCATTTCTTTTTGATGTCATTTACACTAAGTTGGGAATTGCTGTCTGACCCCATTTGCTTATTGTGAACCTACAAACCATACTCTCATTTTCATCCATCTATGCACAATGAATGAATTTGTACCTGGGCAGTAGTTGAATTTCAAGTATTGCAATTGTGCAATGGCATCTTTTGTGTTCTGTCACTGCTTATATCTACGATAACATGATTTTTTTATGATATGAATATTTTTGATAAAGACAGAATCTGCTTTTGTATGATGATTTTTAAAATGTTAGTTTTGCTTAAAGCAGAATTATGGGGAGAGTAAAATACACTCATCCCCATAATTAGAGCCGACGTGTGATACAGCAGCTGTTTGATCGAGAATTGAGTGATTACATACCAACGATCCCTCATTCATGCTGGAAGCTAGTCACAATGCACTTCTTCCGGGACTGTGACTGATATTTCTAGCTATAGTACAGTGCAGTATAGTGCAGTTTACATTCCCCTTTTCTCTCCCCTCGTCCATTCACAAAAGGTATTGTTTTCTGTTCACTGAATGCAAGGCGCTATGTGATTGGCCAAAAGGGGAGGGCCTAGTAAACAACAGTGTCTTCCCTCGTCCATTTCCAGAATGCTTTGCATGCCATGAACAGAGTACAAGGCTTTTTGTGAATGGACTTATGGAGAAAGAGGAGTGTAAACAACACTATACTGCACTGTACCATAGCCAAAAATATCCGTCACCAGCATGAATTAAGCTGTCATTTCTACAGTAAGCAATACTATGAACATAGGATACCAAATATTCAAACCAAATTATTCCAATTGTGCTGTTTTCAAAAACTTTTTTTTTTCTCTAGTTCTACTTTAAGCCTCACTTCCTGTTCCAGGAACCAAAGTCAATAGGATAGGAAGTGAGAGGAAATTTGACAATTGTCACTGGACAAAAGGTAAAGGAAAATCTCCCAGTAAGGACACATTTGCAGGAAATATGTATTATTTGCAGGAAATCTTCACTTCCTGTCATGTCTCTAGGACAGGAAGGGCTGGGGAATTTCCTCAATGGAGACACAGAAAGCAATAAATGCTGTGTGCCCCTACTCCTACAACTTTCTGAGATATATGATGGGGATATCCCAAGGGGCTGCGGGAGCAGGGACACTAGGAGAAAATGATGGGGGTGGGGGGGCGGTCAGTTCTGAGCAAATAAATTAGGCAAACAAAATAAAAAATAAAAAAACAGCCTTTCTAACCCTTGGCGTTGGTGGTGGGAGGTGGGAGGTGGGGGGTGCAGAAAAGTGATTTAGTGGACTGAAGGTCTTTTTTGGAAGTATAATAAAAATCCAGCTATTACTACTAGGAAAGGTAGACAGTAATCTTTTTTTTTTTTTTACGAGTAGAATGACTATAAAGGTGTTTTTTTGATCACCTTTTGTTTTTTGTTCTCCAACTGCATTGTAAGCATTTCCAGCCTCTATTTTGGTCTTGGCTTTCATTTCATTGTTATCTTTTATGTCTGTCTCATCTTTGTGCTTTTACAGCTCACATTCTTGACATTCTTGTGCATTTTCTCTCTGTTGTTTACACCATGGATGCAAATCTTCTTTTCATGTCAGATCCTGCCCTCTATCCCATCACACAGATCCACTCACAGCAGTTGTACAGGTATTCAGTATCACCCAGGCTGTAAAACTACAGTGGGTCCAGCAAACTTGGCAAGGACAAGCCGGCCTCTCAATTCCCCTCAAAGTAATAAGAGTTGTGTCCATTTTGATGATTATGGACACTTTTCTACTCATTACATATTCTTAAGTGTCAGTCCACTCAAAAATAATATTTTGTCAATTTAAACAGTTCAAGACTTAAACATCACCAGTGACCTAAATTGATAAAAAAAAAAAAACCTACTTAATCAACACAACAAAATAAAAACATTACTTAGCAAATGTCTCGGTTTGTGTGATATCAGTTTTCTTTGCATTGCTTTATTATTGTAAAATTGTATGCAATGCATGAATAAATCCAGAATGGATAACTTAGCCAAGTGTGCTTTCTTTTCTAGCATTATTCAACCTCATACCAGTGGGTCTTCGTGTTGTTGCAATCCAAGGTGTAAAAACGGGGTTATATATTGCAATGAATGGAGAAGGTTACCTGTACACATCAGTGAGTACTCTTTTATTTTATGGCATTCCAAGAGGGGGAATATAAAGGTTATTCCTTTGCAAACATGTGTTTTGAACTGCTTGGTGACAGTATTTAAACTGAATAGGAAAAAAAAAGTTCTTTAAAGGGGAAAACTACTTTTTTTGTAATTGGCTTATGCTATGTCATTTTTCAATGGCAGTATTATATAAAGCACACATATACTCCAATATTTAAGGAAAAAGAACTCAAAAATATGCTAACAAAGCACAAAATAATAGTTTTGCTGGGAATTAAAAATAAAATATAATGGAAGAGGAAGAGAAGAAAATGTTGCTCTGGCCTCCTTCTGTGCCTCTCATTGCTAATTGTCAAATGATGTTTGCTGAGGGACATGAGCAGCTAGAGCCCTGGTACCCAACCTGTGGCCTGATGCCGCATGCTGCCCTTTGGAATTTTTATGTGTGGCCCTTTGACCCCAGCAGTCTGTAGTTGGAGCAGCAGCACTGATATGTAAATAGTTACTAGCAGTGCTCTACACTATGTTACATTATGTTACTATTTTAGTAGCATCTCTGCAGCCTCTGACCATCATTTCCTGATGTATATCAGCAGACAGTCTTTTTTTATTACATATACTGTACATTTGCCAACCACTGAGCTAACGAAACCATGATCCTCATTTCAGCACAGATCATAAGACCAAAATTTCTAAGCTTTTGGACATATAGCTGGCACAAGGTGGATCCATGAGAATTTTTTAACCCCTCTATTACTCTACATTTATACACTCCAGCAATACAGTTAAAGTAAACAATCTCTAAGAGGACTACATAGGCTGCCATTGCTGACCTTCTATGAAAAATGCTAGTTGTCTGGCTGTCATGCTGACTTGACTGTCTGTTTTCTTGTTTTTTTTTTTAATTGAGCCACTGACCAAAGCCCGGTTCACACCTGGGCGTTTTGTAGCGCGTTTGTACGCTCTGCAAAACGCTCAAACACCGAAATCCCATTGTTTCATACGGGTATGGTTCACACCTGGGCGTATTTCAGGCCGTATGAACGCGCTACAAAATGGCCAACACCCAAAGAAATACAGGAGCTTCTTTGGGGCGTATTTGCCGCATGTATCCATTGGGATACAGCCAGGTAGCCCTCGGAAACGCATATTCGATACGTCTAGGTGTGAACCCAGCAGTATGCAGATCTGGTGTTGTGATTGTACATGTTCCAGTTCTATGAGAAAGTATTAAAGCAGAAACAGTCAAACAACTAGCATTATCAGAGCAGGTCAGCAATGGCAGTCTACACATTTCTCTAGTGAAATGTATCATGTAACATAGCTTTAATTTTATATTTCAGTATGGGTCCAGTTTAAATGACTGTACTGTTTACAATAATCATGGATGAATATACAACTGTTGGTGGAATCAGATACTTCAAATGTATTTTTATGTTTTGGCTAGAGAAGGGAATGGTTAGGCCCTCTGTCGGGTTTTATTGTCGTTTGTGCCCCTGCTCAGGAGATTCAACCCCTCTTTTTGTTCGGGAGACCATTGTCACCAGGACTGAAAGTGTAGGAAAATCCAATATTTAAAGTTGTCACCAGAACAGTACTAGAGGGGACATATTGCAAAGAGGAACTCACCTAAGAGAGGCTTTTCTTAACTTTAATAAGATTCTCTCTGTTGAGCCACAAGACAGGAAGTAAAAACAAATCTCCCCAGTGGGACTGAAACACAGGATTTAAACAAAAATCACAGTTGAAGTGCCCCGCCCCCCCTCACATTGCAAGGGTTAAAGGCTTGTTAAGTTTAGGGGTAGCGGAATAAGGTATCATAAATTTTTCCTAACTTCAGTATCTTTTCTAAGGCGCTCTGGGTGGTAGTCACAATTGCATGCGAGAACTCACCCACAACCCAGAGTGTCAGAGAGAAGAGGAGTGCACCAGACCTGTTGGAGTGGCAAATAAAGTAAGTATTACACCCTATTCCTCTACCTTCTAGAGCTAGTGAGTATTTACCCCTGCGGTGCACGAGGGAGGGGAAGGGGGCACTGCACAGTTTGTTTGTTTTTTGAAAGCTACCAATTTCTGTACAAAACTGACGACAACTGACATTTAAATGTGTTGTGAGTTGTTAGGTTAAAAAGCAGGGAATATATCTATATATATATATAT